AGTATTTACCGGGGAAATACACGTCAAATTTCGAGGAGAACACTGTTTACCCAAATTTCGTTTTTAATTAGGCTTTTATTAAAAAGTTTTAGAGAGATGTGATGCCGAACCGATGAAACAAAAGTGACATTTCATTGTTCATCTTAAAGCTAAAGATATTGTGCTCGGCATTACCATGGTTATGTAGTTATCACCTATCAGAATTCAATTATAAAGACCAAAAACGTTGACTCATGAATATTCAAAAATATAATTCGCTGGCTTGACAGACTTCGACGCCAGATCGGGCGCAGAGCCTTGCAAATCTGAAAGCCACCGCGCGCAGTGGTCTTTGTTGGAAAGTATTCATGGTATTTGCCACCAGTACGGGCCGTTATCACGCGTCTAACCAGGAGTTGGGCGAGTCGTTAATCCTTGTGTGTAGGATCCGTGGTTTAAAGAGCTAGATTGTCTGCGAAGCAATCTCTGCTATTTTCAGCAACTCTGCTGTTGCAGTAATTCTCATTTGGGAGGCATGTGACAGATTTCCGGATACATTAGCAGATACTCGTTCATCATCACTCGGAAAGTGAAGCTTGCTTCATTGGATGCATCGTAGTGTGAAAATTGGTCTCAATGAAATGCGGACTCGAATGGTTGTACATTGAGCAGGTTGAAATAATGCGAAGTCAATTTGGATAGTGATATGTCACATGGGAATGTTAAGAGTCATTATATAAGGTAAAAGAAAGAGGCAATGCAAAACAGTATCATCTAATATCATGATATGATAAGGTTAAGTTGCATTATGAACAACGAAAATAGGTATGAACTCCAAAAACACTGTAGGGTAGCCTAAGTCGGATCCAAGGTTGAATTTAGGATTCGAATTTCAGTATCGACGAATCCTGGCAGTGGTCACTGAAGGGGGCCCCTTGTGATAGAATTGACATCGTGCCCGGATTGGTCTATGCAAACGTCCAACCTCTTTGTTTCATTTGTTAAATGTGTTGTTGCAAAAAACTTGTGCAACATGACCTGTTTCAGGTCATGTTGTATTAGGCGTTGTATTGTATTTTGAAACAAGCTCGATCGGATCTCGGAAGCTGCGGGCCAACGAATTCGTGTTCATGCATGAGTCACGTGATTGTGCCATGTACTTTCTGGAAGGAGTAGTGTTTTGAGTAAAAAATATGAGTTTTGTTTGACCCCAGTGACCCCATGATGACCCCAGTCTGGTCATGTGACACGTTGAGGCTGGGCTACTGATACTTTTGACAAATTTTGGTTGAAATCGGTCAAAATATGTAGGAGCAATAGACAATGTCAACGTTTGTTACTAACTAACGAACTAACGGACTAATGGAAAGACATGATGATTTGTCGAGCTGCTATCCCGCAGCTAAAAAAAGGGGATGACAGTTAATAAAGGCAAATTTATTGAAATGAACAGGTCCGTTTATGGGAAATGAAACGTGCTTCCTTTTAATGCAGAAAATCAGTCCGTTTTATTTTTCCTCTGTAAAATTGACAGAAGTACATCCTATATTATAAACATGATACTGAGTAGAACAATACACATGTCAATGACCACTTATCCTCAACTATCTTTTAATCTTTACACTAGCTTTCCGCAGTGTGGTTATTTTTTTATATTAAAAAGTATTTCTCTAAAATATTTGACAGGTTGTTTTACCACAAATATACATAAGTTCAAAATGTAAGCAATGGCGGTAACATTGTAACCAGAGCTAACTGAATTGAAAGGACACGTTATATTTATTACGTTTTCACTTTATGACATCTGGAGCACAGGTGCCCCGTCACAAATAAAATGTACCTTTCATAAGCAGGTGTAACAATGGGAAATTCGTTTGGAACTGGGTATTGTAATTACTACTATAAATCTATCAGTTTTCATGGTAAATTATAGTACTACAATGTTGCTGCATATTTAAAGCTATAGTCCATCATTTGCAGCCATCCGAAAAGTAACTGGCGTAATTATTGTTGAAAAACGAACTTGGTTGAAAGATAGTAAGGGAACTAAACTCCCTGTGAAATTATTCCTTCTGGGAAGCTGTCATTTTGAAGTAATCAACGAAAGAAGGCATTTCCAACGGTGATTCTTAAGAAGCACCGTAGGAAAATTTAAATTAGTAGTTCGTTTTGTTATTCAGCGCAGCGCGCACAAGTATTGGAACGACGCACACGCGCGCGCGGTTGTTATAATTCGTCGGATCAGTGCGCTACGTCGCGTATAGCTGCAATTCAAAACAATTCAAAACATGATTCAGTAACTTTTGATTTGAAATTGAGATCTTAGAATGCTGTTTTTCTCGGAATATACAGCTGAAGCTTAGCTGAAACTTCATCAGGTTAGTTGTTCAGTATCCTTCATTAGATTTTGAACCCTTTTGTTGCTTCAAACGAACAAAATGCACAAATTACAAATGATGGACTATAGCTTTAAGTCAGGCCAGATAAAGAAACAACATAGCATTCTGATGACATTATTTTGGTGAGCTCTCAATACACAGGCTACAAAGAAACTGAACATATTTTAACCATTCGTTAAAACAACTGCGCCAAGCCACATTTTTAAATTGCTTTTAATAGGATGTTATTTTTTTCTGGTGCACAAGTTTAAGTGTTTGTTTGTTTATTTTAGTGTAGAATTTATTTCTCATGGCGCAAGTCACCGGTCTGCCCGCTACCACAAGCGAGGATTTCATCAGGCCCCCTCGGAATTAAAAATGGCCGTATATTTTCTTTCGTCGGTTCCATGTTCCAGGGCATATATTGAAGTTGGAAAGGTTAGCCAAAATCATGTTTGCCGTGTCTCGATGTCGTCTGTCTCTCTCTCTCGTATGTCTCATAGGAGTCTTGCTCTAATTGTCATAGATGGAAAGGCGGTTCGACCTATCCGTCTTATTTGAGTAACGGAGAAAAACGTGTATGCTCCGCATTCATGCCATTCTAATACATCCCTAAGACAAATTTCAAGTCAATGGGTGCAGGCTTAAAAATGCACGACAAGAACAGTCGCCATTTGCATTTTTTTAATTGATGATTGACATTACATTTAATCGACGCCTATCGACCAAAGCAGGTGCCCGGATGAGCTACACGGCCAAAACCAAAAATACTGCAAATACTCCACTACATGAGCTTGAAAATTATTTGTTCTCTTGATACCTTAACGTAAATATTAGCGGTGTGTCGGACATTGGTCCGACTCGAGAGCCCCGAGGCGTCACACGTTTTGCGACCGTCTGAAAACGCGTTTAGAAATCAAAATACCTCGGTTGCACAATAGTCGCAAATTGTTATCCACGCCAAATATTATTGCAACTATGCCGCGTGGAGTAGGGCAACATGTCAACGTGTAATGGGTAGGGCACACACACACACTCGCTTGTCGTGAGGGTAATGTAAACACGGCCTGGGCCCGGCCCACGAGCAGTCTTTTTCTTCGCTGCACGCCCGAATTAAAGTAATCGCTGACTAGAAATTGAACGTCACCGTCGATTTAGCGCACACAATACCGGCATCCTACAATGGTGTTTTCATAGCGGGCCGCGGTAATGAGAATATGTTTGTTGTGCCTGTTGCATCACAAATCAGATTTTGTCATGCGATTAAAGGAACCGACCTATTTTTATCGTCAAATTACTAAAGTACAGACAAAACAAATCGAAAATATGTGCGTGTCTTAACGCAAATCATGGGTGTACTATAGTCCCCCGCTCTCTGACTAAAGGGTAACTGCAGTGGAATTTTACAAAGCCAGTTAGACACTGTTTATGCGAGAAACTTTAGAAACGGTTTTCCCATTGCCCGCCATACTACAGTCCTTCTAACAATACCCAATATTTTTTTTTGGTTTTGAGTCATAAGGTCGAGGCACAGTTAAACAGCTACAGCGCACCAAAAACACGTCTCCTCACCCTCCCACGAGCTATTAGAAGGACATTCTCTGATGTTATTGTAAAGAAAAAAAACCCATCTCTTTAAAAGCAAGCTGTGGTGAGGTGTTGACACCAATGTGCTCGTTAGCCTAGCTGTTCAGCAATCAAACCGGTACATGTTCATAAATGGTTAAATTCCGACTCGGCTCCGGGTCTCATTACCTTGTTTATCTCTCGCACACTGTTAGATTTCGCACGATTTTTTTTTCTTTAAAGCTTATTCATTAGATTTACTTGAAATCCGTTCTCCGTTGATACACCAAATTTTGATAGCGATTGCTAGTAGTGTGAGTTGGAATAGAAATGTCATGCTTAGTCCACTACATTTTAATGCACTGTTTAACAAACTGACGCCTTTTCCCCGTAGAATCAGAGCAAACAGTGCACAGGCGGCATTGAATTCAAAATCCTGCACAAAATTACAGCGGACACAAGGTCGACATCTGCAGCCGCGAATTGAGTAAACCAGGTTCTTAGCGCGGTGAAGTAAAAAGAGATAAGATGTGTGGTCAGTGCCCCACACAGGACGATTGGGTTTCTAAGAATCGATCAATTTGCTTTCGTGATGCTTCACCGACCCAGGTAAAATTCCCTAACACGTCCGCACATTTTTTTGGCTGACCAAGTCTAATAACACATCAACGTAACTATCACGTCCGTCCAGGGTCTGTCCTCACACATTGTCCGTTTAAAAGAAAAACAGGTTTGGTCAAGATGTATTTGTTTGGTAGAGTGAATACTAAATGCACCAAACATGTCGTGGGAAAATAGTTTGTCGTCTTGAAGTCGTAAAACCTGTCGGCTTATGTTTCAGTCCGAAAACGAACAAAAGTGTCGATGATAGAGTTCAGTAAATAGAGCCTGAAAGTTGACCCGTGGTGGCGCGCTTCCGGACCCCTCGAATTTAGGACAATTATTTTTGGTACATTGATTTCTTAAAAAAAATAACCCTCGGAAAAAGGCCTTTGTAAAATTGTTAAACCTCAATTTATGGACACTGAAAAATCGCATGACGTGAAAGAGAAATATCGTGCCAAAAATGACCTCTCACTTCCTAAAATAAAAAAGGCGACTATTGGAACTCGGAGCACTCGTACAAAGATGAAAATTAATGAATTAATTTAGTGACGTTAATTGGGTAAAAACTGAAACTTAATTAGGAGACTAAAATGTCTTTTGGGACACACAATTTTGTTGAATAAACTGACTAAATCTGGAATCCATAACATGTAAGTAGGTAAATCTGCGCGTCGTTATCATTTTCGTATTTAAGTATACGCGATGTGAAAACAAACGTGATCGAACAGGGAACCTAGCTACGAAATCTCCAAATAATTTTCTTATCATTTTTACTTGTGGAATGCCAAGATAAAATTCCAACATGAATGTTTTTTGGGGTGATTACGGTTAGAAATCATTCTGTCAAAAATTATAGCAAGAGAAAGGCAGGGCAGCCCCGTGTTAAAATGCCCATAGAAGGGTCGCAGAGGGGTCCGAAAGCTCTAAGACAAAATGGCGCACTCTCATGCTCCATTATAATAAGTCCGCATTCATGAAAGGCAGTGGGCTTTTGTTCGCCATTGAAAGCCCTATATTTCAAAGGTGTCAATTTACGTAGTTGGTCTGTGTATATTACCTTGATGTCCGGTCGGTCATCATCAACCGAGTGAGTACTATATTTAGCGCTGTTGCGGAGCGGAGAATAATTTTTTACCGGTTGGTAACTAATAAACTTCGGGCAAACGCTCTACCGAGTCTCATTATAAAATCGAGAAACACGTCGGTTTGGCGTGCACGTTCACAGTTTGAAGTCCGAGGGGACTATGACTGGGAGGGTGTTCCTTTCTCTCTCCGGTAATTGTAGCTTTTTTGGCAAGGTATTAAAATCCCTCGTGATTAGTGGCTGTTTTAACGGGACTTTTTTTTCTAAGGTTATGCAGGTATGACCTCGATTTGTTGCCAAACCACTTCGGGCACTCGCGAAATAATTGTTATTTTCTCGGTAAAAACTGCGCGAGGTTTTCTAACCGCGGGCTAGACACAAGTCCGTTGGGTTTGCAACTTTACCGTCGGTTTCATCGCGACTGATTCCGCCGTATGTTGTGGGTGATGCGAGCGACATTTAGAAGGCTCGATCAACCAGAGGTATTTCAACGGGCAATACGTTGAGCAATTGTCAAAATAGTCAAGTGTCGCACAAATATGCAGCCGATATCTGTCTTGGTATGGTGAATGGTAGAACTGTGCATTTATCGCGCATTGAACTCCCACGACCAATTATTGCTCCACCGAATGAATAGTTAAAGAGTTAAAATGTAAGGAGACCTTATGCAGGTGTTTTTACATAAACTGTGTACTTTTTCGGATAAACATATTCAAACTGTTGGATATTTAAACGTAAACACCACTATTGTGTAACCACCGCAGCACCCATGCACCGGAGATCAGGTATTCTGAACTCTATAAGCAGGGCTACTATGGGTCTCATTATTGTCGCCAGAGACCCATTGAAAAGAGAGTCATTACTGCCCTGTTTGTAGGGCTAAGGTGTACCATTTTGGTGTAGCGTTTGTATAGAATTCTGCAATGTCCAAGTCTTAAAGCCTCGACCTGTTGGTCCATACACGGGTCCCCATTTCTTTCAAATGACATCATCTGACCAGTGAGCTTGGTAAACAACCTCGGATTTATTTTGATCAAAAAAAGAGAAGATTTAATGCGACAATTTTTGACGATATCAGTAGCCGCCTCAGTACAATGGAGAGCTGTAGTATGCAGGTTTATGCAGGATGTAATTTTCGATCGTGTTCCCTGAATTTATTTTATTAATTGTAAACTGTTGAATAGGATGGTGCCAGACTATTTTATGATTGGCGTGCGTTCCAAGCCTCACTTTTGATTACTTTTTTTGTCAATGTGGATTAAAACATAAGGGTATGTTTAATCGCAAATTTTAAAATTATTCATTATTGCAGACTGGTTAATTTGTTATGAACTTTCATTTCATGGCTTATATTTCTACTCGCAAGTTCCAAAAGTGAAGAGGTTACCTCGCTTTCAATTGAACAATGGCCGACTGGTGAATAAAGTCTATTCTCGGGCTGCCTCTTTCTGATTTCCGCATGCAATACCTGATGTGATAATAATGGCCGCTGCTCCAACGGTTAAGACCTGAATGGCCCGCCACTCACGACGTATTATTGAGCTGTTGCACAACAGTAGTTGAACCACACGCTTAGCGGAAATCGATGCGTGCCAATTATGAAAGAAAACACACTGTAGCCATCCCGCGCTGGCCTATTATAATATTTCAACGTGATGGGCAGCTCTGACTTTTCCGGACGATCTATTTTTAATTCTGGCCGCGTGTAACCGGTCGATGGATGGGCTGTGCAGAAGCAGTCCCCCCCCCCCAAAAAAAGATGCATATAATTAGTTGGACGGCCTGTCACGTTACTGCGAACTCTTTGCTATTTGTTCATGCATGTGTTTAGCAACATTACGTTGTTGTTTTGTTTTCTTTGGATCGTTCGTTTCTCAAACTCGGTTCTCCAAGTCCAAGAAGCAATAAAAACGCTAAATGCATGTGGCTTAACTCCAAGGCAAGTATACATTGTACACTGACGTGCCCTGGCCTACACCGCGTTATGTGGAAGGGTTTTATTGTCAGGCAAATTAGGACCGAGTTTTGGGGACTTTCTGCTGTCCCCACAGCGTTTTCGGTTCCCACAAATACCTCGTACAGACGAGTGTATGTCCCCACAACTATGAAATAAGTCCGTGTGAGTTCCCAAGTGTTAATGCAGTTTTCCGTCTCACTTACACGTATCTAGGTAGTTTATGAGACCACCAAAAACACCTACATGTTGGCATTTACGGACTACAGCCTTAAAATCGTCTTGTATAAGCTAAATGGTTAAAATGGCACGTTTTGGTTGGAATTACTTGTTCAAAAAAAGGTGTCGCGAGTCTTTAAGATTGATCAAAACACACCAATTTCTTAATTTGGTATTCTCGCAAATAAAATGGGCGTTAATCATGTAACCTAGGCCCTACACACTACCAAGACCAAAGGGTGTCATAATGTCACCGTATGCGTGAGTTCAATTATTGCTTGGTGTTCTAATTCATCCAATCGACCACGCATCATTTCCATATTCCAACCATAAATTGTTCTATTACCAAATTCAGCACTTGGACCTATTCCGGTTTGAAAATTTATCATATTTTGTTTTTTTTGCGTTTTCCTTTAAAATTTGATTTGATAGACGAGCAAATATAAATTGAATTTGATAGAACAACAGCCTATAGGACACAACGGCAGCTGCATGTCAACTACGGGTTTTGAAAATAAATCATTACCAACGCCTGCACAAAATTCCATAAACGAACAAAGAATCGCTATAAATCTCTGGCGCCAGAACTATCTCATCTGAAATTGCAATCACAAAAGCTTTCAATTTATCAAATTCACAGTGTACGGGCAAGTAAAAATGAATGTAAACGGGTTCGACTCTAAATACAAGCAAACAATTGGTTCTTTGGATTTCACGAGTGAGCCGGCCTCAGTTTTGATCGTACAGCTTTGGATAAAAAGAATTGAGAAAGCGGCTCAATTTTAAACGCTAGATTAAAGTATTTCTAGTGAGAGTTTCGTTTAATACCAGTCCATTGCATTGTAAACGTTACATGTTTCTCTGGTATCTTCAGAGCAAACGTTCTTTCAAAGGATAGCTAGATAGCCCTATATTTCCAATAGAAAAACATTCAGTCACACAATTTACCGACATTACCATGAACTTTTGATTGGTCTCTGTACAATACAACTGTCGCGGAAAATAAAGGATATTCGGCCACATGTTTCAATTCACTCGAACACAATTTTGGCTTTTCCCAGGTATTTAAAAGCGAAAACATGACCCTGTCGCTTCATTAATTGCTCTCTCTCTCGCTCAATTTGTCGACCGGCGGCCAAACAAAGCAGCTTCCGGAAGCAGTCAGAACAACATTGTCAGTCTAATGCTACTTATGGCAAGAGAAGATCGAGATGTTCGCTCATCAGTAATTAGTCAGTGTGGATAAATACTGTCTCCTCATGTACGAGTCACTGGCACAGCAGAACAACAGCCTCTTGAACGCATTGCGAAACTCGCGATTGAAAATGGTGTAGATGACGGGGTTGGCCGCCGAGTTGACCCAGCCTAGCCAGGTCACGGTGGCAAAGGTCGTGTGGGTGATGTTGCAGCTTGGGCACAATCCAATCACCACGTTGGTAATAAAGAACGGCAGCCAGCAACATATGAAGACGGTGACCACGATGGCGAGGACCGAGGTTGCCTTCCGTTCTCGTGCCACCGAGATGCGCTTAGTCCTCGATTCCGGTTTGTCGTGCGCCTCGTGCGCTTTTCTGTCGTGACTCGGCTTCTCTGTCTCGCCGCTCGACGGTTCCTGTTTGTCACACAGTGTGGCAAAATTCTCAGTCTTTTCGTTTACGAATTTCGTGACGAGTGTGGTCTTGCCGGCGCCCACACCGTTCTTGTAGGCCGGCCCTTTGCGGTACTTCACGCTGCCGGGTTTCCGTCGGCCCAGTTTCTGCACGGAGCGGAATATTTTGTAGTAAACAATAAGGAGAACGAAGCAAGGAACGTAGAAAGAGAGGCAGGAAGATCCGACTTGGAAAATAGGGCTGACATTGAGTTGGCATTCGTCAGAAGCCATGGCATCGTAGCCACCCACCAAGACTAGGGCAGGGATGGAAATGAGAAAGGACAATCCCCAGGCTGAGATGATGGTGATCAGAGACATGATAGGTGTGCGCTTGATGGCGTACTGGATGGGACGCGTGATGGCTAAGAAGCGGTCCACGGAAATCACGCAGAGGTTCCAGATAGACGAGGTACAGGTCAGGACGTCCATGGACACCCAAACATCGCAGATGATGGGTCCAAGGTACCACTGACCAGCCACCACCTCCTGGTACAACCCCAGGGGCATGACCACCGAACTGACGGCCAGGTCGGCTATGGCCAGCGACACGATGAAGTAGTTGGCCACGATGCGAAGATTGCGGAACTTGAAGACAGAGATGCAGACGAGAAGATTCCCTATGATGCCACAGATGATGATGGGCGTCAGTAGGGTAATCTTGAGGATAGTCAAACCAATGTCTGGTTCGGCAACGTCTACCGTGAAGTTACCATCTCCCGGCAAAGTAATGTTCTCCATACTTTTGTTTCTGCGGCGTGGGGATCGAGGGGACAATCGGCTGCAGAATCCTCACGGCAGCAAGCACCTCGATGCGTCGATTTCCCTCCGTGAAATCACATCTCACATCAAGAACTGTCCGGATGCCCAACGCGCACACATTTATAACGCCCCAACGGGAGCAACTTATCCGGCCGTTTTTGTCGTTAAGCCTGTCGGTCCCTTTTCCTGACGTGGGAGAAATCAAGTGTAACTTCCAAGGCGGTCGAATATATCCGATGTGACTCGGGACTGGAGTTGACATGCACCCGATACTGTCATTGTGGTGGACCGCGGTGCACGGTGACAAAGTGCCGCATGTTCTGGAAAGCTGCACCACTGTGACTGACTTTAAAGGACATCAAAGAAGCGTTATGAATCAGAGCGTACGGACACACACACACACACGACACACCGCCACGGCATCATCTGATGAATGTCTCACGGCACAGTACGCAGCACTAGCATCCACTCGTCACCACGGTCTGTCCACACACACACATCATGATCTAGCAATGGATCGGGCAGAGCGCATGCGTCACAACGACTAACACACCAACCATGCCGACCAATCAGTTCCGCTGTTACTTTACTGAGGCGCTGGCGAATTTCATGCATTCGCTGCGCCAGATCACAGTACCGAAGGAAGAGAGAGTTTCTCGTTTACTCTCGCACTGCAGCGACACGATTCTATACCTGTGCTGCATTTATATATACACAAAGCCTTACGGTTTGAAAATGGTGGTCACCCGCACGTAATAATAGCGCAACCTGCTCCTCGGAGCATGTCACACGCGAAACTTAAATAGCCCAGGTGAACAATCGATCCATTCGGAGGTAGTCGAGGGGAGCAAATCTATAAATTCAAACGGCATTCCCCCGCATGGAAACGCAGACTAAATGAGGCGTGTAACTCGGTGTTTTCTAACAAAACACGCTGACGAGCCATGTTTTAACACTACGCACCATGCAGGTTTTTTTTACAATTTACACAAGGGCAAAGGCCGGTCAATTTAGATTGTTCGATATGTAAACATACAACGTCTACAGAAAAGGAAAATGTAGAAAAGGAAACGAAAGTAAAGAAAGACGTAATAAAAACAAGGTGGTGAATAAGGGACATGTATGTTTGGGCATGTTAGTTCATCTCGTTGAATAGCAGTCATAAAATTGCAAGCAGTGTTTTCGATGCACTTTCAATCACAGATTTTTGTTAAAATAAAACGGGGTTTTGTGAAGAAGTTAACCAACAAAAAAAAAGATTTCCAGAATACTGAGCGAATACTTCCAATGTTCAAATGCGAACTGTCATCAGCTGTAAATTGCCATTCTCTTAATGTGTGCAAGAGTGACCCACGATAACACCATAAAGCACATTACTGAACCCATAGTGAGACACGGCCTCCAAGTAATGATAGTGCTGTAAGGCACAACAATATCGAGAAATTTGAGTATAGGAGAAAACGCATTTGTCGTTAATCACCTGATTTTATGGCATTATTGCCAGCAAATGTGCACGTGCAGTGTCCAGAAATGGTCTCAAATGCTATGAGAGATACCGGGAATAGCCCACTGGGAACGCGATATATTGGTCTCTCTATAATTGGCGTCTTATTTTGGCCCAAATTAAGCCGAATAGCCGGAGGAAAAGTCCGGACGTCTGTTATTGGGATATCCATATTGTGCTATACGCCAGCTCAGCCTCTGCCTGTGTGCGAGCCCCAGAATAATACAGGATGACGAATGATACTGTGTTAATTGGCGGGGGAACGAATACAATTCATTTGGTCTATACTATAGGCGTTAATGCCGCGGTAATCAATATGAGTTATCAGAACGTCAGTATAATGGTAATTGTACACATTGTTTGCTTTGAATTTGACAAAACACCTGAACGCTGTCGATGTGTATGAGCTATTTCTATTTTAGAAGAGTTCCCAGTGTTCGAAGCTTGGCCTAGTGCTTGTGCACTGTTGAGAGCGCTTAAGTGATGGACATTTTAAGTGAACTTAACATTGTTGGGTTACAAGGGCAGCCTCACTTAAAAATAATGGAGAGACTTTACGCACTGGCGCTATACATGCCCTCCAACATAAGCTCTAAATGTATTGGGCTGTCACACAGACGTGTTAGGATAAAACAAACCTTGGTCGTGGACTTAAGCAATGCATCCATACATCAAAGACGTTTTGGCTGATAGCTTTTACGGTACATGTGCTAATATCTTCTGTGATATTAGCAAGTTTGTGTTTTTAAGCAGCTCAAAAAATCGACCTCTTGATGCAAATAAGTTTTTTTTTACCATTATGTAAAGAACCTGTTTTATGAGAATGGGCAGTCCTCTTTAACGTTCACCTGTTTCATTGCCGGGGCATATTGTGAGGCGCCACGGGCAGCTGTGGCGCCTCCGAAATCTGACGACTGATTGATATGTATTAAAACCGACTATATAATCATTAAGGTATATAGAGGGTACTTGCACTTCATGGAGAGCTCAATGATGAAATTGTCTTCAATCCATATTGAGGCAGTCTGTCTAGCAATATTGGGTTAAATGGTATCGATCTGATCACATCATGTTCCTTCGTATACTTATTAATCACAAATAGTAAATATTAATGCATCATGCAGGACCGAATGAAATGAGGAAACATCCGCAAAGGTGAAGAGACTTGAGATAGAATGACTTAGCCTTACAGTGTTTTATTTGGGTCGAGAACTCTCGATTATTCCATTAACTGGAACGTTATGACGTTGGCCCAGTATTCGTTCGTTCCCATTTCCTTTGACGAAAAAGAAGATATAATTGCAAACATTTAAAAAGTCTGCATGAAAACATTGTCTGATTTTTTGGGGGTAAATTCCTGTTAGGCTGATGGTTTGAAACGCCCCGTGTAAAAAAAAGAAAACCTGCTTGCAATCAGTTCGTAGTGCGTTATATTCCATAGGCGATATTTTGCCGCAATCCGTCTGTTTGCACAGTATATTGATCTTACTCTACGCAGAGCTAACTGTTCAAACGTCCGTATCATTGGGACAGGCCGCATACAAGAGCAGATCTGATTTCCTTAAAGGCACACGGTGGCAAATGTATTCGCAAATTCTTCAATATGCACAATGGGCGTGGCTTTTGCTTTTTTAGGAGTGGGAGGATAAATTGTATATCAAGTGTTTCCAATCTACATTTTTAATGTGAAATTGTCCGTAGCTACACCAAATAACCACCTCGTCTAACATCCTATAAGTTGTCCTTTATGCTTGGAAAATATTAGTCAAATGCTGGCTTCATGCATCGTTATATGCGGACTTTATGTTCATTAATGTCTGCCATTGACACATTAAAGAAAATAGTTTTCTTTGAAAAAAAAACTACCCTAGGCTAAACTAAACCTTTACCCATGTCCGTGTCGCCGGTAGCAGTGCATTTGTCATAAAATAAAAGCAAGACTCATGTTTTGAATTCAAAATAAGTGGAAATGCGCGACAAGAGCCCTGTGGGGCTTAAGATCAACGCTATGATGATGAATCGCGGTCGAACGAACGAAGAAATAGCCCTTTAGGGACCCATAGAAACTGCCCTGTTTTCTCAAAATTGACTACATTTTATTGTTAGTTTGACTGTTTCGGTCAATTTGGCCGCGTTATTGCCTCTTACTGCAATTAAGGTTCCGACACGGTGGGTTGTCATGATAAGTTGTTCCCCTCGCGGCGTTCCATTGGCATTTCTTCGATGAATCGATGCTCAGTCAATCGATCACCACAACAGATGACCTCTTAAACGAGGCAAGCTTTTGCTGCTCATTCTGTCGAAAAGGAACCTTCGTCAAATTTTACACTGACATGCAGTGTTTTCTTTATGGAGGTGTGAAGTTTTATATATTTTATTTATATTGTTTTATATTTTACAACAACATTTTTTATAAACTTTAAATTTATGTTTTAATCATTTTCTTTTTTTATCGATGTCAGGGCCCTATGGAAGACCACCGAATGGTGAATATTGGCTACCCTGCAAAAAAATTAGAAATCAATAAATAAATAAATAAGTCCGAGTGAAGAAATGGTGTTGACGAAAAGAATGCATCAATACCTTTAATTGTCTATCTGCCGAGCCATCATTTAACAAATGCTTCAAGATTGCATCAGCTGTCATACGGAATACCTAATAAGAATCCCAAGGCTCCGCATCTGTCTTGAGTTCAATTTATACAAACTTATCGCTTTCTGGGATCACAGACGTTTGTGAACGCGTTTATGGCGTTTATGTGTATATACCTCTCAGTGCTGGGTATTTTTTGTTAATTTTTGTGGTATTCTTTCGTGGTAAAATAATGTCATGATGAAATGGACGATCATTAAGGTGAGAGGTAGCGTTAAAATGAGTGCCATGAAACTATCAACAAAAAGAACCATCGCTTATCATCATTTATGTCACAGATACCTATAAAGTATCAATTCAAAACGAATTGTGTGTCCTACATTGTGTGTGGTTTTAAAACTACACCATTGCATTTTGTAAATTTTTAACACTATAGATAATGTTCTTCACAGGGCCTACTGTTCCGTAGGCCTCATAGGTATATTATACCAATACCAGTGTTCCGTAGGCCCTACTGCCTTCGGTACCAGCACCAACTTCATGTCGATGCTACGCTGTACTAAGCAAGCCAGGCCACACAGTGTGGTATTTTCGTAGGCCCTCAAATATTTCGTAGCCCCTCAAATTTTCTGAAAGCCCTATAGGCACTATAGGGAGCCAGGCCACACTGGTATTTTCGTAGGACCTCAAATATTTCTTCATCGTCTTTTTGATACTTTCCTGACCTAGATTTCTGGCTCCTCCTACTCTGTGTATCGAGGCCTTGAACTACAGAAGCACAGATGGAATTACCGTCACGTCAAGTATTATTACCAAAATAGCCAATAAATAGATAATTCTACTCGCTCGTATCCCTCGCCATCCATTAAGCAGGTTGTTTAAGATTCGGGTAGTCGGCAAACGACCCGCCGGCGTACTTAAACGGGGTGGTTTATCTAAGTTCTCAAAGGGAAATAACTTTCATTCAAACAACCGCTATTAGCGTTTATATTTATCTCCCTAGGGTTCCATTTTCCTCCTCAATGCAAAACACGAGTCTCGCTTTTACTGTTATTTTGAGAAATCCACTTATACCGGCGACACTAAAGTTTGTTAAGTTTAAACGTTTGGGGGGGGGGGGGGGGGTGGACCTGGGGTGTATATCAAGAGTGGCACTGAAGGTAGGTGATATGTATTTTTGTTCAATATAAGAATCTTGGGGGCACCCGGTGGAACAGACATCTGTTGGAGGGGGGTTCCCAGTGGCCCCGCCCCCTCCCCACCCCCGCAGTTACGCCATTGATTAACGACACTCTGAACATTAATGAGTCAATTTAATCATGAAACTATGAACGGCAAGGAAACATGGGAATCCGCGTCTTGTAAAAGGTTCAGACGCCCTTCCAAATAAGAACAAATCACAGAAACTTTAACATCAACTTACAACCTTTCTTTTGTCCATCCTTTGCAAACATCTGAGTGTATCAGCGATTCACGTCATACGTTTGCCCAGGCTGGTCAAGTATGCAATTTGTGTGGACACTCTATACACGGGTACATCCCTATCCAACGATGTATTTTATTATCCCAGCCTTTGGCCCATCAACAAAGACAACAATTTACCTAAGGATGGTCAAGGCAGGACACCATCGATTGCCGGCCACT